GACCGACAGGACTCACAACAAGATATGACTGACAGCAAATAGGGAAAACAAGTGACTCGATAATGACAGGACTAGAACGCATAACCACCAATACCACCCCATCACTGGGATGATAGCAAAGGTTGGTAACGTGATACACATAGTCCCGCCAAAAGGCCACGCTAGAATCCAGCAAGACGGCATCGACGAGAAATGACTGAATGGCCTCCCGCCCCCTTTCCCCTCACCTTTCTCAAACTCTTTCGGATGCACTATGAGTTTAACCCCCCAACCCATTCCCACAGAGAGCACTTGAGTTCGTTGCCCAACATGCCACAGCAATTCTCATCGCCGAACATTTGGATCTCAAAGCGTGAGCTGGATGCTGCGGTTATATGGTATTTACGTACACCGGAGCTTAGCTGTCAACACAACCCGATCACATAATAACAAATGACGACTGGACCCGCTTAAGACTCCACATAAACTCTCACACACATATCCATTACACGACTAACCCGTTCATATAACAGGAAGACAACTATAAGACCACTATGGTCACACGCGGAAAATTTTTACATTTCGGAACTATTCAAATTCAAAAACTGTTTTCAGTACTTTTTTGCAAAAAATAAAATACTCACAATTTTAAAACAATAAATGGTGGTCCAAAGGACGTTGTATATGGAAGCTCGCTCTTCTTCGAGATACGCCTAGCCAGATCAAAGGGAGACAGAACAAACAGGAAACACCAAGAAAGAAGAAGGAAGACATGCACCAGCGACAACAGGACGAGCGGTTTGATTCGGATGAAAGCATCAAGCCCAGAAACGGCACAAACACTAGAATTCAGTCACGAAAGTGACGTAAATAACCCAGACCACAAATATAGGCGGAGACTGTTAGCAGCCTAGGCTAGCTAGCAGCAGTCTGAACGTGGTCGAGCTTTTCTTTTTTTTTCCCCAAAAGGACTAGGACTAGGACTGTTCTTTCAGTGTTAAACATGGACACTGTCTTCAGAAGACAGAAGAAAAAAAGTCACCACAGAAATGAAATGTTTACTTACTATGTTAGGCGAACAAGGAAAGACCGACTAAGAAAGGATGATATCAGGAGGAGAGTCGGCACAGAAGTATACTTAACTGTATCGGTAGACAACAGGTCAAATGGTTTGGCCATGTAACAAGATTGGCGACAGACGGGGTACTACAGAGAGCAATGTTATACAGATACTACGATAACAGCCAGAGGTCGATCACGCACAATATAGACCGCATACATATCAGAGACACTGAAAAATACTTTATACGAAGTAAAGAGAAGGACCAGTTCCATGATCTATTTCTGCCCTGGCGCAGCGAGGCACTCCATGAGTAGAAAAAGGAAGAAGAATCCCGAAGAGCTGCGAAACCGGCACTCTCTGTGTGAAAATGTTAAAGATTGTGCTGAGAAGGAAGACGACTCGGTGTGTAGGTATACAACATCAACATATGAGCATATTTTGTGTTTTATTGATGACTAAAGCTTTTTGGAATCTACTGTTTTTGTAATCCCAGCTTATTACCACTTTGGTTTTTTTTTTTTTTTAAATTTTACAGCTGCATAAATTATTCATCTAAAGACCATTGTCTTAGACTCTCGTGAGGGTCAATACAGGTGTACATGGTTCTTTTTAAAGTCTTCATATGGACCATTATAATTCAGTATTCTACCAATACAGTTGCCTGGAATACGTTGTTAAAAGTTCGCCATAGAATCCTCACCCCACGAACTCCAGGTTACATCAGGTGAGTGCAGCCGTTACGGGTGCCCCAGTTATAACTTCTATGGAGGTTGAAAAGGGTATCTCTGGTTTGTCCTACTGGCTTGTCATCTGGATTAATATTTTGTTATTTCTTCCGTGTGGGTTCCATTGTGGGGGAAACAATAATAAACCCACTGACTACCCAGAAAAACATGTCGGAAGAGTAGACAAACTGGGAGCTTCCTTCCAAGTCGGACTGCATTTGTCTGAAAGGCAACGCACCAACAGTCTGCATACACATGAGTCAGATTTGTAAAACGAATGTGCACGCAACAGTCAGGTTCTGGAACTTGACTTCAGGAGTGAAGGAACAGCCAGAACTTTCCGCTGGAGCTTTAAGTCGGTGAACGCGAAAAAGAAGAAGATTTTCTTACCTTATGATGGTCTCGTCTTCAAGTCCAGAGAAAAAAAAAAGGGGGGGGGGGGAAGAAGAAACAGAAGAAAGGTACACATTGTTTAACTTTCATCTTCCTTGAATGTTGAATAAGGAATCGACATCACAGCAGTCGGGACACCCTTATTAGCTCCTCGTCCCCCATCTTCAGCAGCAAACGAAGGGTACTGATTCCGATGGCACCAGTAACTGTCTGATTGTATATCCGTCTCGCCCTTCCCTTGAGTGTTAAGCGTCGACCAGATCTCCTGGTAACTCCTCGCAGCGCCATTCTCCTCAGACCGTTATGATCAATTTGCGCTTCCGCACTGTTAACTCGCTCCCAGAGGGCCCTCACAACGTCTAGCTTGTCACACATCAATTCATCACCAAGTGGTGCAGAACCGGCCAGTCCATCTGCCTGCTCATTTCCCAGCACACTGGCATGCCTGGAGAGAATATCCAGAGGATACTGGTTATCCCGGACCTCTGAACTGATGCTTTCCACTCTGCACGGAGCATACCTGTCTCCACCTTTCTCAACATGCTCTGTGGTTCAGTAAATCATGAAAGTGGTACCAAGCACAGAGCACGCTCTCCGTAGCTCCAGCGATAATTTCTTCCCTTTATCGCCCTATTGAAAATCTGCTCTAAACTAACACATCTCAACTTTCTTAACTTTTGCTGACTTGTACAGCTCACTTCTGTCCTTTCCATCATAGTCACCCCCTCTCTACTTCTCTTATGCACGTGTTTTTGGTCTCCCTTTATTTTGTTTACCCTGTGAGTCACAACGAAGGAACATTCCTGTTTCTAATGTAGTATACACCCTAGGAAAGAAATACTTGTGTACCTTGATAACGGCAGACTGTAGATGAATTAGAGAAGTTATTGTAGAATAGCTCAAGCAAAGACGGCATTTTACAAAAGAAAGACTATTCTTTGCAATCTGGAAAAATAAAGCTCTAAAGAACTATATAAATCCTATCCTTATATACGGAAGTGAATCATGGACAGTTGGATAAGTTCTGGAGAAAAAAACACCTCATTATTTGGAAGCGACGATGTGGTTTTATAGACGAAGGATGAGAATACACTAAACAGATTGGAAAAATAAAGCTCTAAAGAACTATATAAATCCTATCCTTATATACGGAAGTGAATCATGGACAGTTGGATAAGTTCTGGAGAAAAAAACACCTCATTATTTGGAAGCGACGATGTGGTTTTATAGACGAAGGATGAGAATACACTAAACAGATTGCTGATTCCCCACATCAGAAGAAGACAGGCTTGGTTTATCTTTGGTCATATCACGAGACGAAAAACACCGGAGTACCTCGTGACGGTAGGAAAGTTAGAGAGAAAAGACACGGAGGGAGATCAAGAGAAAGAGAAGATGCTGGTCAGTTTGACATCATAGCATAGAAAATCATCTGTGTCAGAATTGATTGAAAGATCACGAAAGATGGTTGTGACTACCAAAACCACACGGCATTGACTAAAACATTGGTGAGGCATTTCATGTAACGGATGCAATCGCCGCATATGTTTCAAGAAAGTTTATTTTGCTGTGACCTGTTTACTATTTATTACAAATACGCCACTAGGTTTACAAATTGAATATAGCGAAAAGAACGCCCAGTGCATGCTTAGGCCACTCATAAAGAAACTGTAACGTATGACAGCTACCCGTTGCTGTTGCTACAATGCTAGCTGTGCACGCATATTCTTAACAGCGAAGCGACGAGGAGGATAATATCACATAATACCCATTCCAGTGTATTCGTTATCCGTTAACGCTTACATATGCGAATTGATCACGAATGACCACTGGGCTGTATGAAGAAGATAGATCCTCGTTCAACTCACCACAGGCTTTTTGTAGACAAATGCTTGGTGTCACGTTGTGGGGGCATCTCCAAAGAAGTTTTAATTGAGTTGAGTCAAGAATTGACATCACAACACTCGGGGCATTCCCATAAGCGCTCCGTCCCCAACCTCTGCAGCCATCGCAAAGTTCCAATACCAATGGTGCCAGTCGTAGTCTGGTTGAATGTCTGTCTTGCCTTTCATCTGAGCGTAGTATGTCGGCCGAACCCTCTGGTCACACCCAGGTGCATCATTCTCTCCAGCCCATTTTAATCTTGTTTCTCTTCTAACTTCCTTACTTGTTCCCAAAGGGCTCTGACCACATCTGCCTTATCATATATCAATTCACCACCCAGCGGTGCCGATCTAGCCAGTCTATCTGCCTGTTCATATCCACCACGCCGGTATGGCCTGGGGAAAAGATCCAAAGTATGCTCCAACGTTATAATGAAGGTAGCAGATGGGAGGCTCAGCCCCCCCCCCCGCTCCCCATTTTTCCGTCTTTTCTTCATTTTCAACACTTTAGGGGCGGGAGAGGTGTGGCTTCGAGATATATAAGCTCTCATGTCCTGGCGCCTGTGTTTAAAGTATATTTTTATATATTAGGTCATCCAACACTGTCTTATACATTATTAATAATAATCCGCAAACGGCAAATAAATGCTAGTATAATAATATATATGAAATAGTATGAAATGTCTAAAAAATATATCTATCCGCTCCCAAAGTGCCACAACATCCAGCTTGTCATACATTAATTCACTACCAAGCGGTGCAGACCGACCAGTCCATCTGCCTGCTCATTTCCCAACACACTAGCATATTCTGGAGAAAATATCCAAAGGATGCTAACTACTCAGGACCTCTGAAGTGATGCTTGCCACTATAATTGTGGTCCTAAATAGAAATTCTAGATCACCGTTATCTTGTCTGTCTGCCTTGTTTCCTCAGGATATTCCCCTGTAGCTAAGAATGGGATGTGATGGAGGTACCATACCCAAAAGGGACGAATTAGTGAGGACTAAGAAGAAACCAGAACAGGTTTGTTTACTTTACTTTGTGTTTTGAAATCTGTCTCAGTGGATGGATCCGTGGTGTTTTCGACTTCTTGTCATTCATATGTTTTGTAATACTAATACTAACAATGTAATTACTTTTGTTGTCGTAGGCAGGACGTTTATTATTGTTGATGAGTTTGTCATGATTTCTTTTTGTGTGTGTGTGGAACATTTCTGTTCATATTCTTAGCTTTCATCGGCTGTAAACTCTAATGGAAAGGCCTTGTTGTTTCGTCCACTTTTAGTTAGACCTTGGTTCTTATCATAATGGATAATTTGTATGCAGACTGTTGGTTCCAGCCTCGGGCACATGTACTCTGTCATTGAACGAACACCCATGTAGTTCTATAGCTCAACTAATAGTTTAAAATTAACCATAGTAGTTTGTCGAAGCCAATCATGACAACTGATAAGTTAAATAACTCGGCACTCCTTTGAATCATTCCCCAAAATGGCGGCATGCCACATTCTGGCCATAAAATATCCAAAAATATTCTAACGACGGTGTTTGCGTATATCTAAAATACGGACTTTCTGCCAAGGAACAAATCACGGCAAAACTAGGATTACTTGACAATCAATATCAACATTTGCACACAGTACTAGTAGCAGACGATAAATACTGACCGTTGACAGCAATTTCGAGCGTTTCTGCAGACGATATTAGCGACCGTTGACCAATTTCGAGACATTACAGACGATGAAAGCTGATTAGCAATACTGTGTTCTTCTGATTGGAGGATTTAGCAGCGGTAGATGTCAGACTTGTTGGCATGCGCCAAACGCTATTAAACTCATCGCCGAGCGTATCCCTCGCGCCGCTACGCGCGGCGAGGATGGGGGGCTAAACTCGGTGCCTGGGACTCACGAGTAAAGTAATTGGAGGAAGTTGCAGGAGATGTGGTAGCTGCCGCTCATGAGTCCCAGCCATCTAGAAGCGGGTGATACGGTCGGCGGTGAGGCACACTCGCAGAAGCAGGTCCCCAAGTAACATATCGCTGAGACCCTGTTAGAGCATTTGTTTCAGTGTACGGAGCCGGCATATATATTTTTAATAGGACTGCGCCACATTCGGATATTTTTGGATATTTTATGGCCAGAATGTGGCCAATTTAGCTCTCTTTCGAACAGCATCTTATTATGGCCACCATTTTATGGTGCCGTTCGAAGTAGAGCCTACTGGAAGTAAATGCTGTGGAAATGGATAAATCGTAAATCCTCAAGGAACATTTTAAATTAAATTTATAAAACAGGTATGAATGTAACAACCACTGTGTAAAGATCTGTTAATTTATCTATCTTCTATTAAAAGTGAGAACAAGAACCATACAAATCTAAAAATTACCAAGATTAAAAGAGAGATTAGTAGATAAGTGATACATGTCAAGACAATTACAAAGGCTTTGTGTCCTGCATTTCACGAGCAGCAGCTACCGCATCTCCTGCAGCTTCCATCTAGTTTAGCCCCAATCCACGCCACGTGAGTTGCGTGGGAGACACTCTCAGCGGTGGCGGAACTTGCCCGAAGTTCACAATTCGGCGGTGGCGTTATAGTCCCCGGAAGTGAGCAATTGACATGTGACTGAGGCCCTGTTAGGGTATATTTTCCACCTCAATAATTTACGACCGTTATTCGGAGGATAGCTGACTCTTTAGTCTATTAACCGATAAAGTGTTGCTTGAATGAAAATACGCTTCTGTCTAGAAGGAATTACACAGACATACTTTTAAGGTTATTCTGAATTGCTAGGCAATGTGCAGCCTGATCTGTTGGCTTCAGGAGTGTCAGTAGTTAAAAGAGACATGATGGATCATAAGGGATATTTGGAACATTTTCTGTGAACGGATGCTAGTTGAAGACACATTTACGGATTAAACAGCATATTTAAGTATTTGTGAGTTTTTAACTCTTTCAGTCCCACGAGGTCTTAGCTTATGTCCAAGGAATGTTGAGAATGGCAATACAAAAATAATGAGTTTACCATTTCTAGAGGAGCCCAAAATACAACCCTAGTAGGAAATAAATATGTCGCAGATTTTGTCAGTCTCTCACTAAACATAAGATATAAAAACATACAGAACATGTTGATTAGTAAATGTGAAGAATATCCAATGATGCATAATGCACTGTTTGTGACAGAAAGAGTTAAGCATGGTTCTGGCCATTTGGAATGTACAGTGTCTTTTGACAGATATCAAACAAATGCCTAACGTTAAAGCAAGAGGATCGACTTCATTGCACCAGGTTTTATGCCATAGGTCTCAATCACTCATAGGAGAATATCTAACTGCCTACCAAGAGTGTCACACAGAGCATGATCTCTGTAGATTTGGTGATAATCCCCTGAGATCTCTGTATAAATTGCACTCGGGAAGTCTTTTTCTTCTTCACATTCACTGGCACAAAGTTCTGGCTCTTCGTCCACCTGTGGACTTTAATCTTCTTCCAGAGCCTGAGTGTTGCCATCACATCTGTTTTACAGATCTAGCTTGTTTGTATGCAGACTGTTGGTTCCTTGTCTCCCAGGCAGATGCACTACGACTTCAAAGGAAGCTCCCAATTAGTTGACTCTTCTCACATGATTGTTAGGAAGGCAATAGGTCTGTTCTTGTTTTTCCCACAGTGGTGCGCTTAACACACCAAACAAATGGCGTGGCCAATTTACCGCTGAGACTGCTGCCTAAAAAGAGTGCAGTTACTCGCCTTGTGGTTTAAACCCTAAATAGCTTCAAAGTAGTCTCCATAAGACTGCACACAGTGATCCACAGAGGTTGCATTATTTTTGGAAGCATATCAGTTTTTCTAAAAGTTTAATGCTTGGGGTGGCAGGTTGCCTTTCCATAAGAATCCAATGAACATGAATGTTCACATAATTAATGAGATATACAAATTTTCAGTTTATACATTTTAACAAATTGTCCTTTGACAGTCGACATCTGTAGTGGGTGTTTTGGCAGCAGACCACTGTGCATTGATTGTGACAGTTGAATTGAGAGCAGACCATTAACAAAGCAACAGCACACTATTGGGCATAAATCCAGATAGCAAACAGTTTGAAAATGTGGTTCTGCAGCGTCATGTAAAAGATACACAACAGACTTTGACACTTCCTGTTCAAATGTGTTTTTCATTTCTTTTTGTTACAGAAAGATAAAACCTCTGAGCTTGCCTTTAAATGGAAGCACTGTGCCATCAGCCAGGAGGCTTTGGTGAAACCAATAGTTGCTTGTGAGCTAGGAAGGTAAATTCTAAAGTTGTTTAATTTATGTAGTTCTTCTTCTTCCTCCTCCTCATCCTCCTTCTGCTAGTAGAGCATAGGACTTCAACCCGCTCATGCAAAGTTGTCTTATTTTTTGCAGTTTCCCACCCTTTCTACTCCCCATCTTTTTTAACTTCAGTCTCAAACTCCCTTCTCCAAGTGTTGTTTGGTCTTTATTTCTCTACCCCTATAGGTTTCAGTGCAAAGATTTTCTGGTCATAATGTTTGCAGGTTTTCATAACTGATGTCCTATCCAGCGCTAACTCTTGTTTTCCCCTTTTGATTCATCAGAATGTTCTTAGCTGTCTCCAGATTAGCGATTCTGTCAACACCATTTAATTAAATGTTTGTCTTCTTCTGCCTTCTGTCCCCTCCTAATAGGGTTTAGGCTTTCAACCAGCTCACACCAAGTCATTCTCTTCTTCGCTATCACATGCAGTAACTTCAGCTCCCTTTTTCTTGTATTTTTTGGTCTTCCTTTATTTTTTGCCTCTGTGGGTTCCAACTCTGAAAGCAGGCTGAAAAAGGTAAAGACAAGGATGCTTCGAGCAGAGTGGCAAGCTTTACTGGAAAGGTCACGGGTGGTGACCATACTTTGGATCTTTTCTGCAGGCTATGCCGGCGTGGTGGGTAATGAATAGGCAGACAGATTGGCTGGGTCCAGACCACTGGATGGTGAATTAATACATGACAAGGCAGATGTGGTCAAGGCCCTTTGGGAGCAAGCAACGGAATCAGTAGAGAAAGATTATTATTATGGCCTGGAGAGAATGAGGCACCTGGGTGTAACTAGAGGGTCTGGCCGTCTGGCTAGACTACACTCAGAGGAAAGGCAAGTCGGGCATATAACCAGATTGTGACCGGTACCATCAGTATTGGAACTCTGCGCTGGCTGCTGAAGATGAGGACGGAGCATGCATCTGAATGCCCAGAGTGCTGTGATGTCAATTGTTGACTATACTCAACTCTACTCTACTGTGGGTTCCAGTGCAAAGCCATTCTAGTTATATTGTTCTAAGATTTTCTCAACATGTGTCCTATCCAATGCCAGCATCTTTTCTTCACCTCTTGGACCACTTGAACTTGTTTAGTTCTCTTGATTCTATCATACCATTTGATTCCCTCCTTTCTGTGCAGGCACCAGTTAACGAATGAATGTTTATAGTTAATTAGTAATTGTTTCAATTTTCTACGTTTCAGCTCCATACATTAGTACTGATCTGACATTGCTTAGTTCTTGTTTAAATTATTTTATGCTGTTCGAACAGTGCTGGATTTTTCCCAAAAATGACCTGGCTCCCAGGCCCACCCAGCATTGAATGGATACCAAGTATAGTCTTGGAGGAAAGTAAATTTGGCTGACATGATGCTGATCACATTACCCACCAAGTGCCAGTTGATCTCGGTAGGCTAAAGGTCCATCCCTACATGCCCAATACACCTTAAGGTGGGGAAAAGGGTCCTTTTATATGAACATATTTATTTCTTATCATTTCAGATTGTACAACAAGGAAGCAGTTCTGGAATTTCTCTTGGATAGAAGCAAATTTGAAGTTGCTGCTCAGTTTGATCATTTGAGAGTCCTAAAGGTATTCTCTTTTTTTTGTTAAAAATTTTCAGTTACAGGTGTTTCTTAATTACATTTTATACTTTTCTGTGGCTAAGTTCTTGTATGACTTAAAGGCTTTTCTGTTAATAATTTCTTATACATATTTCTACTTCCTGTTAGTAATTTCTTATTTACCTTTTTGGCTTTTCTGTTAATAATTTATATACTGGATGTAAGTCATGGACTATCTCGAAGTCATTAAAGGAAAATAGGGGATTTTGAGCTTAAATCCTATAGAAAGTTTCTCAGAATACCATGGGCCATTAAAAACACAATTATTGACATCCTAACATATCAGGAAAGATTGCCTAGTAAACAAGATCTGTCTCAGAAACTGAAATGTTTTGACCATATCAGTCAGGGAACTGGAGAGAACAATAATGGAGGATATACTACTAGAAAAGAGGGGCAAGGGGTTGACCAGCACGAAGCCGTGGTCATCGGATGTGGAAGGCACCTTTCATATGGGAGGCACCTTGGATATGGAAGTACATGAGGTGGGAGAGCTGAGGAGAAACTAAGTTTACTTCATGTGGGCTGTGAGAGAGGGATGTTCTACAGAGGACCTACTGCATGTTGATGATGATACATGGTAGATTTTTCTGTGACAATTTTTTATATATCTTTTAGCTTTTTGTGTGTGTATGGTTGACATGTTATTTGAAACATTGTGTTCGTTTTCTATATTTTTTTTTTATTGTTTCAGGATATTAAGGAGTTGAATCTGACAGACAATCCAGAAAGTCGATCTCGAGATGCAGACAAAGGTGATAGCTTCATTGATCACAACATTTCTGACTTTATTTGTCCAGTAGTTGGCATAGAAATGAACGGGAACCACAAGTAAGTAACTAAACTTAAAGTTGCATGGATAAACATTGATTTAAAGCTAGATATGCTGTTTGAAAATGGAATGGCTGAATGGTTAGACATAAAATTGAATGGTTCGACATACAGGTGAATGGTTAGATATAAGGTGAATGGTTAGGCAGTCAGGTGAATGGTTAGACATACAGGTGAATGGTTAGACATACAGGTGAATGGTTAGACATAAGATGAATGGTTTGACATACAGGTGAATGGTTAGACAGAAGTGAATGGTTAGACAAACCAGTGAATGGCTAGACATAAGGTGAATGGTTAGATGTATTGGTGAATTTTTAGGCATACAGGTGAATGCTTAGAAGTATAGGCGAATGGTTAGATGTACAGGTGAATTGTTAAATGTATAGTAAAATGTTAGATATAGGAAATCGTGATGTGTTGGAGGTGAGTCATGATATCTAGCTAAACATTGTATATGTTTTGCCATATCATTGTATTAAGTGATGATGTTTTGCTCAGCGGCAGACCTAAGTTTGCTAAACTGTAATATTTTTAGTAAATATTAAAATCTTTGAGATTGTGTATGTTTAAAGTGTCAGATTGATTGTATAAACAGTGAAACTGATTTTTCAGGTTCTGTTTTCTGTGGTCCTGTGGATGTGTTTTATCTGAACGTGCCCTGAAAGAGGTGAAGAGTGAGACTTGTCACAAAGTAAGTACCTTTAACCTTACGTATATGTTACAAAGTGTAGGCACATTGTTAGAGATAATGTGTTTTTGTATGTTTTTGTGGCCTAACTCTCTATATGGTAAGTGATAGTCCTACTGACACTGGCTGTTATGGACTGTGTGGTGTAACACTGGCTGAAAGTAATTGGTTATGTCAAATTTGGTAATAGTAATATATATATTTTGAGGGAAGGGGGGGTCTCGCCGAATGGCATCCACCTCTTGTGCTGGAGGTCCCGATTCAAACCCCAGTGAAGGCTGACATTTTTTCACATGGACTTCTAGTAATTTCCCCTGGTCTCTAGGTAGTAAAACCGTGTGTATTGTTGTGCATGTAAAAAATACCTTGGCAGTGCAGTTTGAAAAAAAAAAAGAGTAGCCTAATGGCGCAGCCGGGGCATCATTAGGAGTTTAAAATCCACCCAAAATATTTCAGAATCCTCGCCTGTTCAGACTTAGGTTTGAGTTGGAAGTAGAACGGAGCACTTATGGGTTTACACTTGTGTGCCAAGTGTTGATCCGTTGACTAAACTAAACTGATAATAGTATCAAAGATAATCCCTGAAAATAAATGGTGCAGTGAGGGTAGACCAGGGGATCTGGCTAACGCTCAACACTCAGGGGAAAGGCGAGACGAACATACAATCAGACGGTTACTGCTACTATCAGAATTGGAATTCTGCACGTGTTACTGAAGATGGGGACGGAGCGCATATGGAAAGTCCAGAGTGATGTGATGTCATTTGTTAACTCATAACTATAAGATATTTCCACAGTGTGCCTGTCAATGACTTCGGATGGAACAGTGCACTGATGGAAAATACTAGCCTTATCCTAGAAAGTGGAAATATAACCTATGAAATTCATGTTGTCGCAGAACAGACCAGTCCCTTAGCCTTGGCTGGCAGCTGGTCTAGGAGGGAAGCTCTGACAGACGGCCGGACAGACCGCTGCTCTTTCTGGTCTGGTAGCTTCTGAAGTGTGTGCTTTATGCCAAACACACACACACACACACATATATATATATATATATATATATATATATATATATATATATATATATATATATATATATATATATATATACACTGTTTTGGTGGGCCGTGAACCAGTTGCCACTGTTTTGGTGTGCCGTGGACGACAAAAGGTTGATGAACACTGTTTTTGATCAATCAGCCCTTGATGAATAATGAAATATATGTTAGCTGTATAAACACAATGAGTCCGTCAACGAAACCTAAAATAAAGCTGGTTTATAGCATTTTCTTTTTGTTGATTAATTCATTGTATTCTTGCAGACAGGATTATTACTCTGTCTGTGAGTTCTAGGGTCCCATTGTTGGGAAAACAAGAATTTCATAAGAGTCTGACTAATTGATAGCTTTCTTCAAAGTCGGAGTGCATCTGTATGAGAGGCACGAAACCAACATCTGCATACAGATAAGTCAGATCTCAGGTTCTGGAATAACTAAAGTCCAGAGGTGGATGAAAGAATAAAAAAATTTCTCCTGAATTTACAGCTGTTGAATGCGAAGAAGCTGAAATATTTTGGTCATATCAAGCGCCACAACGGATTGGAAACAATTATAGCAGAAGGCATGGTACCAGGAAGGTGGGGCAGGGGCCGACCAACACGAAAATGGGCACAGGATATAAGTGACTCCTTGAGTAAGAAAGTCCATGAGACGGGAGAGCTGGCGAGAGACCAAGTTTCTTTCAGGCAGACCGTGATGAGAGCGACGTTCTGCAAAGGACCTGCAACATGATGATGATGATGTACACGAAGAAGAATAAGAAGGATTATTACAATGAACAGTTTGATGATTACACAATACATTATTGATAATTCTTACATTTTGCTGTGTACTCCCCAAGTGTGGAAAGCAGCTTTCTGAGGATGATATTGTCATACTGAATGGAACAGAGGAAGATGTTGTAGAAATGAAAGACAACATGGAGAAACGCAGAGCCCTGCTTAAAGCTTCAAAGGTATGGCTTGTAATTTTGTTGTTAGGCAGAGATAGTATTTGTTTAGTGGGGATGTTAATCATTTGTTTAATGAAAGACTATATCTCTAAGTCGCTGATAAAACGGATACTATATCTCTAGGTCACTGATAAAACAGACACAATATCTCTAGGTCACTGATAAAACAGACACTATATCTCTAGGTCACTGATAAAACAGACACTATATCTCTAGGTCACTGACACTAATCTCTAGGTCACTGATACACTCTAATATCTCTAGGTCACTGATAAAACAGACACACTATATCTCTAGGTCACTGATAAACACAGACACAGACATCTATCTCTAAGTCACTGATAAAACAGACACTATATCTCTAGGTCACTGATAAAACAGACACAATATCTCTAGGTCACTGATAAAACAGACACTATATCTCTAGGTCACTGATAAAACAGACACTATATCTCTAGGTCACTGATAAAACAGACACTATATCTCTAGGTCACTGATAAAACAGACACAATATCTCTAGGTCACTGATAAAACAGACACTATATCTCTAGATTAAAAAACAGACACAATATCTCTAGGTCACTGATAAAACAGACACTATCTCTAGGTCTATATCACTGATAAAGTTCATTCTCTATACTGGTACAATACACCTCTAAACCTCTAACTGATACTCTATAAACAGACACTAGCTGATTCTGCACTTGTAAGATCACTCATAGAAGCTAATATTGTAACTTTAGGATCATTCATAGAAGCAGACACCATATGCCTAAGACACACCACCGACCAGTTATAAATAATTTCTTTATTAATTTCAGAAGACCAAGAAAGCGGAGAAGCACAAACTGACGGGTGCAGCTGCTCCAGGTAAGTGCTCATTATCTCTAGGTCACTGATAAAAAACAGATTTCCCTGTGTTGCCCCCCCCCCCCCCTTTTCCCACCCACCCAGGCATGCAATAAAAGATGACTAGTTAGGTTTTGTTGGAAGTCAGAGCACATGTGCACCAAACCTCTAAATAACTCATAGAGCTGATTCGAGGAGCCATAGAAAATGTCTGCATACATAGTTAGCACAGATCTGTAAACCGACCAGTTATATGTGCATGCAAATCTCATGTTCTGGATTATTTAATTTTCGAGAGGCATGCTAAAGTAGTAGGGAAGTGAGCACATGTGCTGAACAAGTTAGCCAGATCCAGTGCATCTTCACCAACGGAGTTAACACTCGATGAATGCTAAGAAGGAAAACAAAATCACTGTTGACACATAAGGCTTTAACAAGTGATGTCCAGTTCTGCCGATCTGCAGTTTTTCTGCCCATGGTATCTCATGTCACATTACATTCTGATTTTCTCATTTTGTTGTTGTCCTTTTGCAGGTTTTCTAAGGTTGTGCACATATTCTTTTGCCATCAGCAATTTACCAGTAATGAAAATATTATGTATACAAGTAATTGTTAAACATGTCCTTATTTGTCACCGCTTTATATTTTCTTAGAATCTTTTGTCCTCTGCTGCAAGAAAAAAAAAAAAAAAACAGTTTTTAATTGCACTAATCTTTAGTATCTTCCCTGGCAATGTAAATATACAGATATGTAGGTCATATTTTATTGAAAGAACATTCAAATGTTGGAAAACCCCCCCCCCCCCCCCCACCCCCAATGGAAAAGGGGGGGGGGAAATTTGTCGGAATGCAAAAAAAAAAAGTGAAGATAAACCACATTAAAAGTTTCTGACAGAAAGCCATCATCATGATCACCCAGTCATGCCGTTATATGTCACATGGGGGCTGGGTGTCTGGTGCTCTCTAACTATTATATCCCATTGCAATCTTTTCAAATCATCGCTAGAGTTCAGTCCAGCACTGTTGGCTTCTGTCAGCAACCTTAATTTTATTGCCTCTCTAGGACGTCCTTGTTTCTTGTATCCATCTTTATGAAAACATGTATGAGAAAAGTTGAAGGCAGACAGGGAAGGTTTAGACACTTATGTAAGCGGGTGAATAACATTAAATATTGGGCAGACTGCGGGCTGAGGTAGTATTCTACCATGGTAAGAGACAGGGAATGTAGGTCCATTCCAGCCAATCTTCATTATGGAAAAGCATGTCTGTGTTTGTGCCTCAGTTTCTCTTATTTACTGTATATTTTTGTGTGTGTCTAGCTCTCTCATTCACTATATTTTGTGTGTCTCACTTTCTCTTATCCATTGTGTGCGTGTACACATTTTCCCGGTCTCATACACAGTATATTTACCGAATGAGTCCTGCAAACACCCCCCTTCCCCCCATTTTGAAGGAAGCAAGAATAGACCCACTGCTCCTTAACAGGCATGTTGTAAAAGGTGAGCAGTTAAGGATTTGTTTCAACCACATGTGTAGGGCCAAGAGGGACAGATATTGCAGCCAATCTGTAAATCACAACACAGTATAGCGACAACTGTTTTCAGGGCAAACACAGAACAATAAGATGCACAATAAATGTTTATGTGGTGCATTCATTCCCTGGTTCACATTGTTAAAAGTCATAGTTAGCCTATGATTATTTTAAACATATCATTCTGACTAGTGTCCTTCAGGGGCTCTTTTCTGGAAGAACCCAGTGGCTAGGCATTGCAAATGCGCTTCGTAATGCTGGGGATCCGGTTTCAATCCTAGCTGCAAACGATTTGTCTTGCATTGGTTTCAACAGTGGTACCGAGAGCTGACTGTTCAGAAAGCAACGATAAACCACTGAACGTAAGATTTCCCTAGAAAAACCACAGCAGCCAGAAAATGCTGGGCTTGGTTCTGCAACACAGAGATATACAGAAAAATCTGTAGTTTTTCTGTCAGTGAAGCTATAAAAGCTTAACATTCTGATTTTTCTGTTTCAGAGTCAACAGTTGGCAAGAAAAGGTGTCCAGGTTCTGCTGCATCCTCATCATCATCTGTCTCTAATAGCACACAGTCTAAACCCAGCAGCGGCCCAGGAAAACTTCAGATTCACAAAAGTGGCAATGGAAAACTACCAGCTAATAAAAAGAAGCCAGAAGACTCCAAAGGAAATGGAATATGTAGTCTACAGAACAACCCAAACTCCAGCAAGACCTTTAAGTCCTTGTTCACCAGTAGCGAAGCAGGAAAATCTCAAAAACAGGCTCATTGGGTCACATACAATCCCCTGTACTTTTAAAATAAAGGCAATATTCAGCCACATGAAACTGTCTAAATTTTTGCTTAGTCTTTGTTTAGCTAAACCCTGACATATTTGTTGTTCTGAGATTTCTCCTTCTTCTTCGTGTTCACCAGCTGTAAACTCTGGCAGAAAGTTCTGGTTGTTTCGTTCACATCTGTACCTTAGTCTTGTTAAAGAAACTGAGTGTTGGGTGCACATCCATTTTACAGATCTGACTTATTTGTATCCAGCTTGTTGGTTCTTTGCCTTACAGGCTGATGCATCCTGATGCATTATTCTTCATTCCCCCCCCCCCCCCCCCCCCCCCCCCCCCCCCCCCCCCCCCCCCAGTTAGTCTAGTCTTACGCCTTGCTTGTTGGGGAGGCAGTGGGTCTGTACTTGTTTTTCCGACAATGGGATCCCAGAACCCACAGTGGGATCCCAGAACCCACACTGGGAGTTCTGAGACTTTTCTTTCTTGGACAAAACTGGAGATAGGATGGCTCAGTATCAAACTGAGTGGCGACAGTTTGTCTCTGCCTTATGCGCCTCTAGGTGCGGTGAGGATTGATTTGATTGATTAAAGGTCATGGCTTTTTTCTTTGGGGTCCAAGCTTAAAATCATAACCTGCACAGTTCATGGTGACAGAACTATCCATGCAGCCCTTAATTCTCAGGCTCAAGGACTCTTCCACCACCCACCCCACCCCACTCTACACTGCAAAAACAAAATACAGCCAGTAATTAGCAAAGGGCAGGGATTTAAAAAAAAATCATTTTCATTCGGTGTTCAAATCAGAATAAGTCCACATTTGCACAGTATGTGAAGGGAAATGCTTTAGTGTAGTGACACTTGGAAAGTGAGAGTTAGAGTGGCAGAGGGACATAAAGAGAAGAGATGTTGGACGGTTTTTCAAGGTATGGAGGTGCATGTGCATCAAACAAGGATTTAGAAAGAATTAGCAGTACAAAAAAACAGGTTACTGACAGACATAACCAACACCATACGTATTGAACTATAAGAACCTTATGTTATGACTTGTCCATTAAAGGTAAATAGGAAACAAAATACCACAGATACAAGATTAGATGTGTAGCATATATTTTTATTTTATTTCATGTGGAAGCACAACATTGTAAATGTAATTTTCTATCGGTTGATGTTGCCAGTTACACACTGCCAGTGTCGTTCACTTTCTGTGGTAACATATTCTTGTATGGTTTACACTATTTCTTGAGTGCCTTCAAAAGTAATAAGATTCAGTGGCAATTGATGGAAGCATGAAGCATTGTTCCATTTTGGTGATATTTTGTAGGAGTATTATTATCCACTGTCTTATGATTACACTAAACTCAGTGACTGCTGCGTCCGATCGAGGGGAATCTTGGCTTGTTTGATCATAAAATCCTTGTTTGTTCATAGAAATAAAACTAAATGTGAGCTACATTGCTGTTTTATTCTTCAGGTATGCTCGTAGATGGGAATATGTTTTCAGTGTTTACAATTAAAAGTAAAAATCCCTTTTCTGAGCCTTTAGGCACATCGGGCATATGGGAAGAGCACCCATATTTTTACAGACCAGTTGGCAGTGGTGGGTAATGTGGTCAACATTAGGCCGGCCGTCATAGATATTCCATCTCCTGCAGCAAATGTCTCAAGATGATTGCATTATCGGACTGGTGCACACTAAAAAGATACACAATACTTCAGATTTAATAAAGAAGACAAGAAAGATAAGAGAATCATAAGAATAGACCCATCCCCGTATGGGTTCTGGGATCCCATTGTGTGGAAGACAAGAATAGACCCATCCCCGTATGGGTTCTGGGATCCCATTGTGTGGAAGACAAGAATAGACCCATCCCCGTATGGGTTCTGGGATCCCATTGTGTGGAAGACAAGAATAGACCCATACCCGTATGGGTTCTGTGATCCCATTGTGTGGAAGACAAGAATAGACCCGCTGCCTCCCCAACAAGCATATTGTTGGAGTAGACTTATTGGGGGCTTACTTTGAAATACATCTGCCCCCGGAGCGGCAAAGAACATTCAGTTATACACAAATAAAGCAATAAATATTATACTTTACTTTTACTTTTTCCTTCCACGTATGCCGCTAAGCGTTGTGGGGAGATGCAAGTTCCTGTCGTAAGCAAGGCGGGCAGCATCTGATGTTTTTCTGAGGCCATGCTTTGGCAGGTTTCGGAGACCCCGTCAATCCACCGTTTCCTTGGTCTTCCTCTTTGCCTTATATCCTGAGCTTCTTTGGTGAAAAATTTGCGATGTTATTTGATCATTATTCATCCTGGTTAGATGTCCAAAACCCAATTCATTCTTTGATGTTCTATGTAGTCTAACACATGGTGTAGTTTGTGACAGTGTTTCTAATGTCTATATTCTTTATCCTGTCTAGTCTAGTCTTATTCGCTGCTTTTCTTAGACATTTCATTTCACAGGCTTCTATTTTTCTTCGTGGGTCTTGTTGATTGTCCATGTCTGGCACTGGTAGCAGAGTGTTGGAATGAAGATGGTGTTTTATCAATTGTCTTTTGGTCTTCATGGTTATATCTGGATGTTTAAGCAGAGGTGATAGTTGGTATGTGACAGCATTTGCTTTCTGTATTCTTGTTTCTATCTCTCTGTCCATTTTTCCATCCTCTGTAAATATACTGCCCAAGTATTTGAACTCTTTGGTTTGCCTTGATTTTGGCACTTCCAACATTTATATTCAGTGGCCTGTGTGTTTCTGCTGATCTTCATAACTTCTGTTTTTCTGTACTGATTCTCATATTATGTTGTAAACAGCTGTTGTTGAGAGTAGTCAGATGTTCCTGTAGATCATATTCATTTTGATACAGTATGCTTTGATCATCAGCAAAAAGTAATTCGTTTTATAGCATACACGTCTGGGTTTGCTTCTACAGTGATCTTATCCATGTATGTTATGAAAAGTAATGGTGACAGTACACATCCTTGTCTGACACCAGTTGGTGACTTTGAACCATTCAGAAAGACCACTAGATGTTCTTACTGCACTTTCACTTTTTTCATAGAGGGCTCTGATGTTGTTCTAATAAATTGACCCTGCACTCCGTAATCGTCAAGAATTCTCCACAGCACATCTCCTGTCTACACGGTCGAATGCCTTCTCTTGGTCTACAAAGACCACGTTCAGCTCTTTATCGTATTCGAGTGTCTTTTCACAGACTTGTCTTAGTGCAAATATGGCATCAGTGCAACCTCGCCCTTTCCTGAAACCGAATTGTGCTTTACTCAGTAGAGGTTCAACCTTTGCTCTTATCCTACCTTCTAAGATCTTTGCATACATTTTCCCCACATGACTTAGTAAAGATATTCCTCTATAAGTTCCACATTCTCTCTTGTTTCCTTTTTTCTTCCAGATAGGTACTACAACTGATCTTGCCAATCCAACTGGTACCTTTCTCTCTGCCCATGCTCTATTGAAAATTCTCTCCAGCCAGGTGATCATAGTGTCCCCTCCAGCCTGGATGACTTCTGTTGTTATTCCGTCGATACCAGCTGCTTTGTGTCTTTTACTTGTTTTGATAACTTTCTCTACTTCATCCCGCAGGATGTGTGGTTCTAGATGATCTGGAGCCCTTGAATGGAGTTCTGCTGTTTCATGTATTCCCGACGGGTTCAAAAGTTCTTTAAAATATTCCTCCCATCTTTTTTTAATTTCTTTTTGGCTGAATAATGGTTTTCCATTTTTATCATTTATGACTGATGTTGGATTGAAGCTTTCTTCTCTTAATCGCATCGCTTTCACACTCTTATAAAAGTCTCTTGATGATTCTGTACATAGCTGTGTTAGGTGTTCACCATACTTTTTCCATGATTCCTCTTTGGATTTCTTTATTGTTCTCTTGGTGTCTCTTCGGGTTAGTCTGTACCTAATGTAATCCTTTTCGTCTTTTGTTTTTAACCATATTTGAAAACATCTTCTTTTTATTTGACACTGCTTCTTTGACTTCTTCATTCCACCAAGCGGTACCCTTTTTCTTGCCTTTGCCCGTCTTTTCTGGTACCACACTTGTCTTTTAATATCTTCGTGATGGTTGATTTATAATAATCCCATTCTTCTTCAATTCCTACTGGTTCCTTGGCAATATCTGCAAAAGCCTTTGTTATTTCTAGTTCAAATTCATGTTTGATATTCTCTTCCTCTAATTTCTTAGTGTTGATGATTTCTTCACGTTTCTGTTTATGTAGACTGTTTCTACTTGAGTTGCATATGTTCATAACTACTGGGCGATGGTCTGAATCCAGTCCCGCATTTGGAACAGCTTTTGAGTCTCTTACCTTCCTCTTCTGCCGTTGTCTGACTAGTATAAAATCAATTTGTGACGCTTGATCTAAGTTGTTCCACTTGTACCACGTTTTAACCTGACTTTGGCGATGTTGGTAGAATGTGTTGTAAATGTAGAGATCTTGTTCAGCACACAAGTTTAGCAGGTGTTCTCCATTTCTATTGCAATCTGTGGTTGTGTCGCTAAATGGGCCAAGGTATCTCTCCCATGGTGATCTTCTTTTACCTACCCTACCATTAAAATCTCCCATTACTATGATGTCCTCTTTCTCTTTAACATTGTTGATGGTGTCCGTAAGTCTCTCGTAAAAAGTCTTCTTTTTCTTCTTCAGAATAACTGTCATTGCAAGGTGCATATATCTGAATAATCGTTGTAGTTTTACTTCCTTCTGTCAACTTGATTAAAATAATTCTTTCTGATATAAATTCTGTTCCTGTTTATTAATTTTGCTGTCTCGGGATGAAGTATAAATCCGACACCATGTTTTGCCCTATCTTTAGTGGGTACTCCGCTCCATAATAAAACATAATTTTCATGTATTTCTTTTGTATTATATCCTTTCTTTCTTGTATCCGCAAGACCCATGACGTGTATATTTTTTCTTTTCATGAAATCCACTATTTGTGGCTCTTTGTTGGCAATACCACATATGTTCCATGTGCCTATGTAAGTCGTTTTTCTGTCTC